AGAAAATTATGAAAGGAAAAAAATTCACTGGCAAAAGCACATATACAGTAAAGGTAGTAGATTAATCACTTAAAAAGCTATTATGAAGGTTAGAAAATAAAAGCAGTAACGTCAACTTAAATTTACAAAAAATAAAATGATGTAAAATGATCTAATATACCTGAAAAGTAGAGGGAGGAATAAAAATGTAGTACTTTTAGAATGTGTTCAAACTTCAACAAACATCAATATTCTACTATATATATGGTATTATATATGAACTTCATGGTAATCACTAATCAGAAACCTCTGATAAAAAAATAAAGAGGAAGGAAAACAAGCATAACACTAAAGAGAGTCATCAAATCACAAGGGAAGAGAACAAGAGAATAAGAAAGGAACAGAGAAGACGAAAATCAGAGAACAACTGACAAAATGGCAATAAATATATACTCTTAATAATTACTTTAAATGTAAATAGAACAAATGCTCCAACCAAGATATAATGTAACAGAATGGATAAAAAACAAGAGCCATCAAAATGCTGCCTAAAAGAGACTCACTTTGCACCAAAAGACACATATAGTCTGGAAGTGAAGGGACTGAAAAAGATATTGTATGCAAATGGAATACATGAAAATGATGGGGTAGGAATGCTTGTATCACACAAAAACACCATGCAAAACAAGAACTATAACAAGAGTCAAAGGACATTACATAATGATTAAGTGATCAATCTAACAAGAGGATATATGCAATTGTAAATATTTACGTATCCAACAGAGGATCACCTAAATATAGAAAGCAAATATTAATAGACATAAAGGGAGAAACTGACAGCAATACAATCATAGTAGGAGACTCTAACACCACATTTACATCAGTGGACAGATCACCTAGACAGAAAACCAATAAGCAAACAGTGGAATAACACATTAGACCAGATGGACTAAATATAGAGAACATTCCACCCCCCCCCCCAAAAAAAGCAGAGTATGCGCTTTTCAAGTGTACCTGGAACATTCCCCAGGATAGATCACATTAGCCCACAAAAGTCTCAATTTTTAAGAAGACTGTAAATCATATTAAGCATATTTTCCAACCACAAAGGTTAAGAAACTGAAAAAAAAAACACAAAAATATGGAGACTAAACAACATGCTATACAAAACAATCAATGGTCAAGAGGAAATAAAACACCTGGAGACAAATAAAACCAGAACTAAGAAAGAAGTTTATAGTAATATAGGCCAAACTAAAGAAACAAAAACAATCTCAAAAACACAATATAACCTTACACCTGAAGGAACTAGAGAAGAAGGACAAAGCCCAAAGTTACCAAAAGGAAGGAAAAAATTAGAGTGGAAAAAAGTGAATTGGGACCTAAATAGACAATACAAAAAAAAATAAAATCAATGAAACTAAGAACTGATTCTGTGAAAAGATAAAAAAAATTGATAAACCATCCAGATTCATCAAGAAAAAAAGAGAAAGGACTCAAATCAGAAATTAAATGTAAGTTGAAGCTGACACCCTGAAATATAAAGAAAAATTAATATGAAAAAGTATATGCAAACAATTAGACAACCTAAAACAAATGGATAAATTCCTAGAAACAATCTTCCAAGACTGAATCAGGAAGAAAGAAAATCTTGAACAGACTTAAGGAGACCAATAACCCTGGTGATTATAGATGCAAAATTCCTCAACAAAATATCAGCAAACCTAATTCAACAATATATTAGAAGGCTCATACACCAGGATTAATTGGAGTTTATTTCAGGGATTAAAGGATGTCTCAACACCTGCAAATCAACACCTGCATCAATGAAAGGACAAATAAAAATCATATGGTAATCTCAGTAAATTCAGAAGAAGCATTTAAAAAAACTCAAAATCCATTGATGATAAAAACTCTCAACAAAGTGGGTATAGAAGGAACATACCTCAATATAATAAAGGCCATGTAAGACAAACCCATGTTAATATCATATTCAATAGTGAAAAACTGAAAGATTTTCCTCTAAGATCAGTAGTAAGACAAGGAATTCCACACTCACCACTTTTATTCAACATAGTACTTGAGGCCCTAGCCACAGCAAATAAACAAGAAAAGGAAATAGAGGGCAAACAAATTGATATGGAAGAAGTAAAACCATCACTATTTACAGATGTGATATTAAATATAGAAAACCTTAAAAGACTCCAGCAAAAAAACAGAACTAGAAAACGAATTCAGTAAAATTACAGGATACAAAATCAATATACAGAAATCTGCTGCATTTCTATATAGTAAAAATGAACTAGTAGAGAAGTTAGTTCTCTTCTAGAAACTATCCATTTATAACTCCATCAAAAAGAATAAAATATCGTGGAATAAATTTGACCAAGGAAGTGAAAGTCTTCTACTCTGAAAACTATTGACATAGATGAAAGAAACGGAAGAAAACACAAATGAATGAAAAGATGTACCATACTCAAGAACTGAAAAATTTAGTACTGTTAAAATGTCTACAATAAAGCAATCTACAAATTCAAAGCAATCCCTAACAAAATACCAGTGGCACTTTTCACAGAACAAATAATCCTAAAATTTGTATGGAACCACAAAACACCCCAAATAGGTGAAGCACATTAGGAAAGAAGAAAGCTGGGGGAATCATGCTCCATGATTTCAAACTATACAAAGTTATAGTAATCAAAACAGTCTGGTACTAGTCTGAAAAATAAAAACACAGATTAATGGAAGAGAAAAGAGAGTCCAGAAATGAACTCACATTTATATGGTCAATAATCTGTAACAAAGGAGGCTAGAATATATGATGGGGGAAACATAGTCTCACCAATAAATGGTGACTGGGAAAACTGGACAACTACATGCAAGAGAATGATATGGGACCACAATCTTAGACCATACACAAACATATTTTTTTAATGGATTAAAGGCCTAAATATAAGACCCAAAACCACAAAGCTCCTAAAAAAAACAGACAGTAATCTTTTGGACACTCGCTTGAACAGTATTTTTCTGGACCTATCCCCTCAGGCAAGGGAAACAAAAGCAAAAATAAACAAGTGGAACTACATCAAACTAAAAAGCTTCTGGTCAGTGAAGGAAACCATCAAGAAAATGAAAAGGCAGCCTACTGGATGAGAGAAGATATTTGTAAATTATGAAGGATTAATATCCAAAATGTATGAAGAACTCATACAACTCAAAACCAAAAAACCACAAATATTCGAATTAGAAAATGTGATGACCTGAAGAGACATTTCTGCAAAGACATACCGATGGCCAATGGTCACAGGAAAAGATGCTTATGTATCACTAATCATCAAGGAAATGTACATCAAAATCACAATGAGTTATCACCTCATACCAGTCACAACAGGTAATATCAAAAAGACAAGAATATCAAGTATTGGCGAGGACATGGAGTAAAGGGAACCCTCCTGCACTGTTGATGGGAATGTAAATTGGTGCAGCTAGTGTAGAAAACAATATGGAGGTTCCTCAAAAAATTAAAAATAGAAACAACATATAACCTGGAAATTCCACTTCTGAGTATTTACCTGAAGAAAATGAAAATGAAAATGAAAACAGTAATTTGAAAAGTACCCCAAAGTGTACTGCAGCATTACTTACAATACTCAAGATAGGCAAGCAACCTAAGTGTCTATCAACAAATGAATGGATAAAGTGTCATGTGTATGCACACACACACACACACGAATATACTCAGCCATAAAAAGGAAATCTTGCCATTCATGACAATATAAATGGACTTAAAGGGTATTATGCTACGTGAAGTGAGACAAAGAAAGACAAATACAGTATGACTCACTCTATGTGGAACCTAAAAATCAAAACTAATGAATAAAGAAACAAACATATAAAAACAAAGAATCATAAATACAAAGAACAAACTGTTGGTTGCTAGAGGGGAAGAAGTGAGAGGATAGGCAAAATAGGTGAAGGAGTTTAAGCAATACAAACTTCCATAGTCATGAGGATGAAAATTACAGTACAGGGAAAAATATAGTCAATAATACTCTAATTTTGGTATGGTGACAGATGGTAACTACATTTACTGTGGTGCATTTTGTAATGTATATAATCGTTTAATCACTATGTTGTACACCTAGAAGCAATATGATATATAACTATACTTTGATTTTAAAACCTGTGCTAGGAAATTGATGATATCCGATTGTTTTTATAATTTGTACTTCTACTTTAGACCTGACAGTGTTCATGTAATCATAAATTTATTTTTATCTTGCACAAATAGCCTATATACATTTCTTCCCCATATATTTCTTTCTATGAGCTCTTTAAATAGTTAGGATTATTATCCCCCTGTCCTGTTCATTATGAATGTGTGAGTCTTGACTTTTAATTTGGTTGGTTGACATTCAAATCTTATATTTTTATGTAGATAAATATATCAACATTGTTTGCCATTGTATCATCATCTGCACTTCATCTTAGAAGATTTGACAGTAGTTAGTATTTTAAAATTCAGTGTTTCCTTTTGTCTTTTGCCATGAAACCTGCCATGTTCACTCTCTAGACATAACAGCAGTGGCAAGCTAAAAACCCTGAACCCACCTATACAACTCGCTTTTGGGAAAGTAGAGGAATCAATGCTACTAGGCTATGTAGGAAAAGGGGCAGGCTCTTCCATGGCCTTGCCACTCCCACAACCACTACTGCATTCTCTCTGAGAGCACCTTCAAAAACACAGGTTAGAACATGATGCTTGCTTGCTTTGTGTCCAGGCTTTACTGGAAGATCAAACTTACTCTTTCTTTGTGGACTCTCCATCAAATATGAGTTCTACACCTGCTGAGGTTTCACTAAGATAATGTATTTGAGATTACACTATGAATTGTAAAGTGCTATATAAATATTTTAATGACTATTAATAATAACAGGAGGGAAAGAATTAACAAGCCTTTAAAATTTTGCTGTGGGAGTAACACAATATGGAACAAAAATAAATTCACTAGAAATCTCACCGAAGATCCAGACCAGCTTCTTTCCAGAGTAAATCCATCAAGCGCAGCATTTGGAGTGTCAACATATCCTGCCGTAAATCTAAGAAGAAAAAAATGCCCTGCTTTATTATAAGTTCTATCCATTTTATAGCTAGTAACTTTGAGATTAGCTAACACAGCCAGAATTAACTAAAACCATTGACAAATGCTGTGTTAATTTTTTTCCTAAAAATTTGAAGTTGAACAAATTTCATTGTGCTAAATTTTATGTTTGTTGGTTAGCATGTCCCTGTAACACTATTTCAGAAGTTAACTTCAAAGTATTTTTTTATTGTTTACCTTGTGTAAGCTGCCTTGACTGTATAAGGGCTTTAATACTGTTATAACACAGGAATGCTGTATTACAGCATTGACACAACTCACACTGCTAAGTTTTTTCCTTCTTGTTTGCTTTAAGGGATGCACAGGAAGTTCTTAAAGAACACCTAAGAAATTGCACGATGGGTTCAATTTTAAGGTAATAGTAGGCTGTGAAACTGCTTACTTCCACGTAATGATATTCATATGGTCAAATGGGGTTGTATGTCTTTCAAAAAACTATAATTTCTTTTTAAAACAGTTGTAAACATATATTATGTTGAGCACATTTGCTTATATTATTTATCTTGTTTAACTCCTTTTAATAAACTCAACATACAGATGCTGTAATCCTCATGCACATTAAGATCTTTAAACTTCATGAATTTCTTGTGACTTCCCTGTAATCACATAACTAACAAGTGGTGCCAACAATGACTGCCTTCTGGTTGGTGTGATTACTTCAGAGGCATTTGCTTTATTAAAGTACAAGTCAGTAACATATTTTAATTAAAATACAAAATTATGGCAGCAGTATCAAAATTTTTATTACTGACATGGGATAATGTATATATAACTGAAAATATTCTCTTGTTTTTTTTTTCACAAACTTTTTGACAAACGAGTAGAGACACTTCACATTTTGTAAGAAAAAAAGGAAGGTTTATGAGAACGATATACTTTTCCTAAGAGGACAAAAAAGGGACTTAATGACATGCCACATTCAACGTAATTACCACTGATAGTTACCTTTTGGCAACCATATTACATATTTACACATCACCTTTCAAATAAAGTAAACTGAAAAGAAATTAAGAATGCTAAGGAAACTGGCACTGTAAAAACATACATACCATCACCATTTTTGAAAATCACTCCAACTGAATCCTCACCAAACTTGTTGTTGTACACAAGCCACAAAGGTTTCATTTTGGAATCCATGTATTTACACTTTTCAACACTGAAATCAAACAAGGGGAAAATTAGCCCACTTTAACGTAAAGATATGGCAAGGGAAGATAAGGCTTGGGAAAACCCTTTAGCTATTCCTTTTAGATCTGCAGAAGTCAGTACCAGACTATTTCCTCTTAGTAGAAAAATAATCAGGTGATAGCCTTAATTGGCATGCAGTAATGCCAGATGGGCTGGATTGAAATTATTGGATTAAAATTAGGAATATTAGGAGCTCATTTCTTAAAGAGGGATCAATTTTGAATACCAATATACTAAACACCCATTATTATTTTTGTAGGGAATGAAAAAGTGACAGTTTTCCAAATTCATTCAAGATCTCATTTCCAAATAGGAAAGTTAATTAGTAAATAACCTGTGATGGTTACTAACATTTTGTTTACATAGGATTTTCAACTTTTAGAAAACAGAAATAGAGAAATTTTCCTATATAGAATAATATTGAACACAAATTTCATTATATACAATTAAAAGATTAACCTGTAATACCTTCAGTAACACCACAGGTAAATTTAGATAATAGGCATACATCCTACTGAACACAAGAATAACCTCTGAAGACGTTAAGATTTTACTTCTTTACTTATATTCCACTTCCTAGGGCTAACAGCTGGCCCTACTCTCCCCCCAGGAAGTCATCCAGAAATTCTACATTGCTGTTTTCAGGGAGATTCACTGAGTACGGCACAGACAGTCAACTTACTAGAGTTCTGAGAGGATGACACATGGGTTCAGAGGTGACTGTAGATCAGAGAGGGCTTCCCGGTAAGCATTCTGTTTTAAACAAGTGTGCATAGCTTCTTTCCCTTTGGCTCTGTTTAGCTTCATTGCATTCAGTTTGATTAAACTATTTAAAGTTTTTAACTTATTAAGTGCTTCAACCTGAAAAAATAAGTTTCCCCATCATGAAAATTAATTTGTCAAAACTAATATAAAGTACTATAATATTAAGTGAACATATTCATCAATAACCACTCCCATCCTCACCCTGACCCACAAATACATGACAACCAGCTACAGTAAAAACTGTGTTTGGCTTGTGACAAAGATACAAGAGAATAAAAAAACTTATTTTTATCACTTGTTAAATATATTTTTTCCAATGTCCTTTATCCCTTTCTTAATGAAATCTTACAGAGAAAACTGAAGGGACACAGTTTGTGGGTAAAAAGTCTGAAACTTAATCTATTCAGAACTCTGCAGCTCAACAAATAATAGAATTTGTATCACAATTTATCTGAACTGCTCACTCCAACTGGCCAATTCCATAGTGTAACAAGAAAATCTATGTACAAATAACCCTGGGGTCCCTCACACTGAACCTTAGTATCTACTTGTACTCTTACATGACATCTTCTCAGCATATTCACTTTCCATGAATACTACAGCTGAAATGAAGCATTGTACAACAAATATGACCAAGGACAGCAATATTTGTTGTCCAAGTCTAAATTACATTTTATAATGAGGTAACTCTTTCAGAACTTATGCAAATAAAAAAAGTTAAGTAGTACAAGGTGAACCATCAATAGTGAGAATCAAACCAGTATGTTTAAAAGACAATTTTATTGTTTAACAACTAAGTGTCTTTCCCTGTCATATCATGTAATATTTCAAAAGACACAGTCCTGGCCAACCATAAATCATAAAAAAAGAGTATTTATCTTCATGTCATTAAAACTGAAAATAAAATGATAGAAACAGAATACGTCAACATGTAAACAGTATATAACAAGCACAGAAAGTATGTACACTGAAACATGAAAACAATGGCTTAAATTTCCATGAACAAATGATTTATTTTACATCTTCTATACTACTAAAACGCTGTAAGGATATGAATTCAGGCATGCAGTTTCTACAGACTAAAGGCTTGCTCACAAGAAACTGGGAAAGTTCTATGTAGCTTGGTGATAAAATAGAGATGGTTGAAGTTTGCCAAGTAAGTTAGCCATTTTGCCAACAATTTCAGGAGCTGTACAAACACTGGTGAAAAGGGAATCAGCTGAAAACTAGGCTATGCAAACAGGAACTTTTTGGAGTTATTCCAAATGTGAATTGCTTTCGTATTTGTACGTTGCAAATTTTCAGGCCCCATCACTGATATCCATTTCCTGGAACAGTGTCCTAAATGCCCACATGGCCATAAGACAAATACTATGAGTGTTTCAACACCTTGTCTTTTTTAGAGGCTTACAGTAATACTAAGAACTGCCATGTAAAGGGTACAGTCTTCCCCTTGCTGCTCACTAGTAGAGAAAAAAAGAATAAGGTGATCATACATATGTCATATGTTTGCTCTTATAAAAGTCAAAGTCAAGCTGAGTTTTCCAGAGAACCAAGAAAATGTCCAGTGTGGTGTGATTACACGAGTGAGGTCAAAGACATAGCGGCCTCATCTAGCCTTACAGACTTTGATAGAGCTTGGATTTTATTCTCCATGCAATGAAAATCACTGCAGGGATTTTCAAAAGAGAAATGACATAATACATCTACATTTTCAAAAAAATTACTTTATCTGCTGGGTAGAGAGAATGGAGGATAGAGGGCAAAGCCAAGAATAGAAACAAAGGGCACAGTTTAGAAGGTTAATGAAGACATCCAGATGAGAAGATAATGGGTTGGACTAGGATGGTAGCCATGAACACAAAAGACACTGATAGGATATACTTAAAAGGATTATAAAATTAAGGGTACTAACAGTATCTATCTCATATTGTTTTGAAGAATAAATAGCTCATAGTAAGTGGTGAGTAAGCATTAGCTACTATTACCTTAGTTAATGCCTTTCCAAAAGGAAAGAGGGTCAGATACAGTTATTTCAACAAGCATTGAAAAATATACAAGAATCATCTATGGAAAACAATGGGAGTTACTCTGGCAATGAAGTTGAAAAATGTAATAGAACTGAAATTACTATAGCAATCTGATAGCCAAATAAGGTGGGGCACCATAGAGGTATAGGAATGATCAGAAGGTTAAGAGCAAGTTAACACATGGCCTAAGAATGAGACAGGTTATGATTAGCATGTATAGTGTGGGGGTGGGGGGCACGGGGAGGGCTGTGCAACACAGAGAAGACACGTAGTGATTTTACAGCATCTTACTACGCTGATGGACAGTGACTGTGAAGGGGTATGTTGGGGGGACTTGGTGAAGGGGGGAGCCTAGTAAACATAATGTTCTTCATGTAATTGTAGATTAATGACACCAAAATAAAAAAATTTAAAAAAAAAAAAGTAAGATGCCATGTGTGAGGAAGGCCTGTCTGAGGCCAGGGAAAGGGCTTATTGATTTTTAGAGATTCTCCCCATCTTGGAGAGTCAGTCTTAAAAAAAAAAGGTCCCAAGAGGGGGACCTTTGCCATGAGGAAAAAACTATGTACCAAAAAAAATAAAGCCTGGGAGAGAATTTTTAATGCTGAAGAAAATTTTAGCTAAGTGGACTGAATATACTACTTTTAGATTGTACCTACTAGATGAAACTACCTTGGTAATACTCACTAGTCATATACAGCTTATGGTCTGATGTTCACACCATGGCAATAATAAACACCCCAGAAGTAAACCCTCAGGACACATTTCTCTAACATGCATCCAATGACCTAGACATACTTAAAGTGAAAATCCCCGTAGTACTTTCATCAGTGCCAAATGACACCTGAATTCTATACCAGACTGAAACTGATTTCTCCCTGGCTTACACAAAGGTACCTATGGCCTTTTCCCATGGTAACTACACACTGGGGAAAAGGAAAGAGCACAACTTTCAGAGGCTTTCTGAACACTGGCTCTGAGCTGACACTAATTTGAGAAGACCCAAAATACCACTACTTTAGGTACACCAGACAGAGCTGGGGACTTAGGGAGGTAAAGTTTACAATGGAGTTTTAGCACAGATCTGTTCATAGTGGGCCCAGTGTGTACCAAACCTGTCCTGTGGTTATTTCTACAGTTCTGGAATGAGTAATTGGAATAGATATACTCAGCAACTCCCTATTCTGGTTCCCTATCTGTGGAAGGCTATTCTGGTGAGAAAGGCCAAGGGGACATTATTACACCTGCCTCTACCTAAGAAAACAATACACCAATGAGTCCATAGCATCTTACTAGACTGACAGATGGTGACTGCAATGGGAGGTGGTGGAGGAAGCGGTGAGGACTTGATAATATGGGTGAATGCTGAAATGACAATGTTGTTCATTTGAAAACTTTGTAACATTTCATATCAATGATACTTTAATTTAAAAAAATACACCAAAATGGTATTGCATTCCTGAAGTGACTATACTGTTTAGTGCCCTCATCAACTTGAAAAACACAGGGGTGGTGATTCCCATCACATCCTCATTCATCTTGCCTATTCACCCTATGCGACAGACAGATGGGTATTGGAGAATTACAGATTATCCTATTAACCAGGTAGTGTACCAGATGAGGTAGCTGGTATGCAACTACTGATTTGAAAAATGCTTTTTTCTCCATTCCTGTAAAGACCACCACAAGCAGCATGCTTAAGTTGGCATAGCCAATGACATACTTTCACTGTTCTACCTCAGGGAATATATCCACACTCTGTCCCTATGTCATAATTTAATCTATAGGGATCTAGAAGCCTTTCCCTTCTGCAAGATAACACTCTGGTCCATTACACTCATAACATTATGCTGACTGAAACTAGCAAGAACTATCAACTACTCTAGACTTAAAGAAATTTTTATGTCAGCAGGTAGGAAATGAATCCATCAAAAATCTGGAGTCTATCTCAGTGAAACTTCAAGGGCTGAAGTGGGGTAGAGCATGCTAAGATGTCCTTTCTAAGGTGAAGAATAATTTGTTGCTCTGCCCCTGCTACAAGCAAAAATGAAGCACAACACCTATGAGGCCTCTTTGGATTATAAAGGCAACATATTCCTCAGGTGGGTATGTATTCCTCTTTACTGTGTGATCCAAAAAGGTGTTAAATGTTTGAATGGGGTCCAGGACAAGAGAACGTTCTGCCACAGGTTCAGACTACCAGGCAAGCTGCTTTGCCCCTTGGGTTGTACGATCCAGCAGACCCAATGGGGCTTGAACTGTCCGAGGCAGATAGAGATGCTGTTTGTAGCCTGTGGCAGGCCCCTATAAGTAACATCATAGCATAGGTCCTTAGGTTTCTGAAAAAAATATCCAACAAAAAATGCCTGCCACCCCTTCCAGATAACTATTCACCTTTTGAGAAACTAACAAAAATCTCTTTTGAGAGATGGAATATTTAACAACTGGCCACCAGGTAACCACTCAAACTGCACTGCCGTCATGAACTGGGTGTGATCGGACCCATCAGGCTGTAATACAGTGAGCAGAGCAGTGCTCCATCATCAAATGAAAAGTGGTACATACAAGACTGGACCCAAGAAGGCCCTGAAGGCAAAATGAGTTGTATGATGTGACCCAAATGCCCATGGTTTCCCATTCTTGCTATACTGTCCTCGCTCTCTTCCAGATTGCACCTATGGCCTTATGGAGAGTTTCCTACAATCAGATGACATAGGAAGAGAACACAAACATTATTTACAGATGATTCTACAAAATAGGTAAGCATCATAAAAAGTGGACAATTGTGGTACTACAGCACCTTTTTGGAACATTTCTGAAGGATAGTGGTGAGTGAAGGGAAATCCTTCCAGTGGGCAGAACTCTGGAAAGTGCACCTACCTGGTTACTCACTCTGCTTGGAAGAAGAAATGACCCTAAGTATGATTATATACCAATACAAGAGCTGTGACCAAAGTTTGGTTGATGATCAGGGACTTAAGAGGAACATGATTAGAAAATCAAGTGACAAGGAAATTTGGGGAAGAGACCACCACTATCACCACCCAGTGGGGTTCATGATGTGTT